TTTCTCGTTTTAGTGTTGTTGTGGTTCCGCAGCTTTACCACTACCTCCGTGGAGGTAACAAAAAAAGATCTCCAATGATGTCTCTGTGGGACTCACGATTGAGTTCATTGTGATCAATCATCTGCGCAATAGTGGTCTTACTAACGGTATAGCAAAGAGTATCAGGGTCACGCACGGTGTACTTGATCGTGAGCATTAGGAAGGGTAACGGGAGCTTGAATGATCTGAGATGAGGGAGAGCTGCAACAACACTCTTCTCTCCCCAGTGGTTGATTGATAGTCGCGTCTGCCGAGGCTCATACTACTTGACAAGTAGTGGTGACTCTATATTCCATGTACTTTCGTCACGAGATAACGGTAGCAGATAGCGAAACCAGTACGTCACACCGCCGCTTGTGGAATGACAAAAATGACAAGCCCAAGGACTATCTTGATGACGCACTGAGCTTATCCACCGGTAACATGCACGCGCACGGCGAATTCCAGACACTCCCTCGCCAGAAAGGTACAACCTGCCTACTGACAAATATACTATATTGAGGTGGCCGAACGGAGTCGACTCACACAACAACAAGAACAACAACAACAACAACAACAAGAACAACAACAACAAGAACAACAACAACAACAACAACAACAACAACAACAACAAGAACAAGAACAACAACAACAACAACAAAAGAGCTATCGGCTACACCAGCTACAAGTCAATCATTTAAAGAGAGTACAGCTTATCTGATCGCACGGAGGAGACAGTATTTGTGTGAGCCTTCATGATAAAAGTAGTTAGCTGAGGGGTTCATCAGCGGGAGAGTACAGTAGAAGTAACGTCACACATACATAGAAATACGAGCGGTCCAGCGATATCGATGTTATTCGGCGACTCATCGGGAAGTCGGCGAGGAAGGCACATTCTCCTCCACGATTGAACCATGATTTCTGGGTTAGTTTTTTGAACCGCTCTGACCGCACAGCTGAGTTCTTGGTTCCTATTGCGTGCTTAGTTGCCTTTACCTTTGTTCCACCATGGTTGAATTATGGAGTTTTCTGCTTATCTCGGACAGGCCACGCAAGGGCCCTCTAACTGATGAGGATTATTACAAGCTCAGAGCGCCTAGTAGATTGGCGTACAGACTGAGGTACCATCCGAGGCGGATTCTGGACCTGGTCCTCATCTTTGCGAGTCTGTTCCTCGAGTGGCTGGCCAATACTATGCTGGCACCAGTGACGCCTTGGTGAGCTTTCTGCAATCAATGGTGACTGACTTCGCGGTTTTGACAGGTACGTTGAGAAACTCGCTCCTGGTATGAACCCAGGCACGGCTGCCTCCGTACTGATGGCATCATATGCAGTTGGCACATTCTGTTCATCGATGGTTACCGGTCCGATATCAGACAGGATTGGGCGTCGTCCCGTCATCGTGGGCGCTATGACAATATTCATGGTCTCGCAGTTCCTTGTAGCCAATGCCTGGGACTTGGGAAGCTTCGCTGGCTTCCGCGCTATGGGAGGTGTCGCTGCTGGTAATCACTTCAACTTGGAGGTCTCTCGCCAACAGGGATTGTTCCCAAGGTACCCGTCCGGTGATCATGGCGTTCATCCTCGATAGCAGTCGATACGAGGACATGAAGATGTACGGTGTTATGTTTGGATTGTGTGTTGTGGTCGGCCAAGCAGTCGGACCAAGCATTGGTAAGGCTCGCAAGGATAGTTGAGCGCGATGTGGTTGTGACTTTCGTTGTATTTTTCCTTCTTTCCAGGTGGAGCTTTGGCCGAGATAACTCTGTCCTTCCCCTTCTACTTCGTCGGTGTGCTAGGAGCGATCCTTGTATTGCTGCTTCTGTTGTTCCTCACTGAATCGTTGCATAAAGATGAGAACGGCATGCCTATACGAAGAACGGGAGGACCTGAGGTCGTCATGGCTAAGAACAAGTTCCTGTGGCCCACGGTCGCCTGTATGGCCTTGGCAGCTTTCGCAGGACAGTGCGCACTCTGTTTGGCCCTTCCGACTGTCATACAGCTCGTCTTTAGGTATATAGAGATCAACTGGTCTACTGTATTCGGCCTGCTAGGCTCGGAGCAGTATCATCTCAACCCTAGCCAGAATGGTGGAGTTCTCAGTATTGGTGTCCTTGCGATGATTGCTGTGAATATTGTTTACGTGCCGGTTACTCGTGAGTGACTTTCATGGTGCTTCGAAGTGTAGGTGGACGTTCTCCATTTTAGGTGTTATCGAGCCGGCTCTGGTGGCAAGCATTGGTCTGTTCTTTTCTTGCCTTATCGTTATCGTTCCCTTTATACACAACCTGGTCGGGGTTATTTTCTTGGGCATGGCTATCCAAGGAGGAGGTAGGGCGTGGGGATTGAACCTGGCTCATCATCTAGGCGGATATGCTCCCTAACCGATTGAGCAATTCGTATTTTCAGCGATGTGTTACTTTGCCGGTATGGGGTACTTCTCGGCAAGTGTTTGCCCCCCTAAAACGAGAGGACTCGTCAATTCTGTCATCATGGCCTCTGCGAATTCTGGTGAGTATCCCGCTCGAGTGTATGCTGTTGTTGTCATTGTCGATATTGATAGGTGGAATTTTCGGTCCATTCGCTGCCGGTATTCTGTACGGCTTGAACACAGCCGCTCCGTTCTACCTGTCTGTCGGTGTCTCCTGTCTCGGAGGCCTAGCCTGTAAGTTGTTGACGATTCGAGAGCATTTACGCTGTTGCTGGACGGATCGAATTCGCGGCCGCAGTTGTGATCGAAGTCCGCTTCTTAGGTTTTGGTATCCAGATGGGTATAGCACATCAGTCGAAGTTAAATGATGATGCTGTAGAAGGACTAATGACTGATGTTCATGACGATCAGTCTACTACTCGCACATTTTCGGTTTAACGCGTAAAGACCCAGTGCTTCGGAGGCATTCTCCCCAGTGCAGTTGTACACCGCACCAATTGATTCCCTTCATTGGAAGGGTGGTTCATTCGAACGGCGTTCGCTGTTCGGTTATCATGGAAGAGTTAGCTTCCACCGTTCCCTTAGTTGCTGTCTTTAGTGAGGACGATCATCCTCGAACCGCTCATTGGAAATGCATGTTGAGTTTGTCCATCGATCGCAACAGTGTCCGCCTACTCTAGTCGATTGGTATATGCCACGGTATTGCGGGAGTATGTGTACTTTATCATTTTCATTGGAGTTGGCTTTCCAGTTGTCCCTCTTGGGTATAGCGACTTCACCACCATTCGGTGTTCTTGTCTGCCATCATGGTGGCGATGAAGAAACTCTGGAAGATATTGCCGCTTTGTGATGGAGGTAGCGATGGTCCGTTGCCCCCAAGTGAGTATTACACCCTCAATCATTGGAAGAGGCTGTTCTACCGCATTAAATACCGACCGAGACGGGTGGCCGATCTAGTCATGATATTCTTTAGCATCTTCCTAGAGTGGTTGGGGAGTACACTATTGGCACCCGTCACACCATGGTAAGGATAGACTCGCAATGCGGCGCGTCCATACCAGTTGTGCATCACTGATCCCTGCATCAGGTATATCGAGGATCTAGCTCCCGATATGAACCAGGGTACAGCCGCCTCTATTCTAATGGCTGCTTATGCTGTGGGGACGTTCCTTGCCTCTCTAGTCACCGGACCACTCAGTGATAGGTAGCGCGCCTCCCTGGAACTAGTACTCGAGTGGTCTCCTCAGACTCGGTCGTCGTCCAGTGTTTCTGTCGGCAATGACTATCTACACCGTTGCTCAGTTCCTCATGGCCAACGCTTGGGATATCGGCAGTTTTGCCGGCTTCCGTGCTATGGCTGGGGTTGCCGCTGGTACTCCAAGGGGGACTTCATCGTTCTATGTTTCTGGGAATCACGACGCGGGGACGTACGCAAAACTCACACTATAGCCCTGACATTTACGTGCAGTAGGGCCGCCTCTGCAATGAGAGCGATCGTGATTTCTGTGAGGTATTGCGTATAACGATAGGTATTACTATTATGGTTGTCCCGTGTAAACTGTACAGTTTCAGTGCCAAGGTGCTTGAGTGTTCTCGCAGCGGCTCGGTGTTGTCTCATTAGGTACTAGACCTTGTATTATGGCGTACCTTACAGATAGTAGTCGGCCTATCGATATGAAGCTCTATGGTGTCTTCATGGGCTTGTTTGTGGTGGTGGGACAAAGTCTAGGGCCTGCGATAGGTGAGGGTTGGCCGATCATTCCATAACCGATCAGGACTTGATATTGCTGTGGCTGAGTCCATAGATCTATAGCTTCACTCGATGAAATTCCATCAGCCAATGTTTGTGATTAGAGCGGTGTCAATGTTTCTGGTTTCAGGTGGTGCTCTAGCCAGCGTTAGTCTTTCCTTTCCATTCTACTTTATTGGTGTTATCTCTGCGATTCTACTGGTGTTTATGTATATCTTCCTGAGGGAGTCTTTGGTGAAGGATGAGCATGGTATGCCTGTGAATCGATTTGCTCGCCGCCCGGAGGATAAAGAGCCTCCAGCTAACAAATACCTCTGGCCGACTGTTGTCTGCCTTGCTATTGCGTCTTTCTCGGGACAGTAAGTTGGGAATTTACTAACGGTTCACTGAGACACTTTAGAGTTGGTGAAGTAGGAAAAATCGTGCAGAACAAAAGTGTTAACGTGTGAGTGGATGAGCGTGTGCGGCGCTTGAACCGCCGCTTATAAGAGTAGATGCGACTGCTCGTTGGTTTGCCACCCCGGTTTATAGAACGATAGAGGAATCGTGAATGTTCTCGCGACACCGTTATAATGCCTTTGTGAATCACGAGCTGCATCTGTGGAGGTCAGATCGAAAGGCGCCTTACCAATTCCCTCCTTACTCAGGTACCTTCAAATAAACTGGTCGACTGTCTTCGGTCTAGTAGGTGCCGATCAGTATCATCTATCAACATCGGCAAACGGCGGAGTACTGGGCATTCAGGCTATAGCATCAATCGTGGTTAACTGTATTTATCTGCCTTTAACTCGTGAGCGGGCTCGCTTGAGTTCAACATTTTTATGTTCTTCTCGTCAGATTTGCTCGAGTCGGCGTTACTCGGCTCGATTGGGATGCTCATATCCATCGGTATAATTGGTGTTCCTTTCATAGACAACCTCGTTGGAGTTATTTTCCTGGGTATGTGCATCCAGGCCGGAAGTAAGGATGGACGATTGTGTATTCGCCGTCACGAATAGTTGATGAAAAAAGCTATTGTTTCCCACACTGCATTCGAGGCGCGGACTGTGGATCTTAAACAGATGCAGAAAGGCTTTCTGCAGCATTGAATGGTTTACGCTAATCCCAAACGCTACTGGTGTGAACTACTATCGTTTATAGCACGGATTGTCCCCCTTCCTCCCAGTCTTCGTCGCTTTTATGCTTATCTCCCTCAGCCGCCTTGTATTTCGCTGGTATGGCTTATTTCAACTCGGTCATCGCACCACCAAAAAAGCGAGGTCTCATCAATTCCTCCGTCATGGGTGCTGCCAATGTCGGTAAGTATATTTTCTTCATGTGTTGACTCGGACTGGACTTTGAATGATGCATCTCTTCTCAGGTGGCATCGTAGGGCCTCTGGTGGGTGGTGATCTCTATGATCTTGATCCGACGTATCCATTCTATCTCAGTGTTATACTATCTTGTGTGGGTTCACTTGCATGTAAGACTCCGCACTGTAGATTGCTGTCTATGGATTAGCACGAGTCATTCAGTGAGATATTAAAGTAACGTATATTTATCGGAATTATTCTACCGTTCGAACTAACTCGAATTCACGAGCAACTCAGTCGCTTCCCTCATCTCTTCTTTTGTTCCCTAAGTGGAATGCAAAAATAACGCCGTTGTAGCTCACAATCAGAGTGATGTCGAAAGCTGTCATCGTCAGAGGACCGCTTTCCCCCCAGGTCTTGGCATTCACTTCGGAATCGAATATCAATTGAAGCTGTTCAAAATGGCAGCCGCTCCGAACACCTCGAACGAGCTGATGGGAGCCGCTAAGAGACCGCCGTCCAATCATCAGGCTACAGACGCTCAGGACGTTGCTTCAACAGTTGAGGAAGAGTCTCGATCTACAAACACTGCGGTTTGAACGCGCTCATCGTCGGGTATTCGCAGAGATCTCGTATGATGCAGTGGAGTTACTGCTGCTTCTGGGCGCTTTAAACGGAGAATTCTCAACTGTGTTTTCTCACCGCTCTTGATTTATGTAGTTTTATTAGCCAATACTATTCGCTGTTCTTGTCTCGTTGCAGCTATAAAATGTGCAGCTTCGTGCTCGTTCCTATAAAAAGGTTTCATTCCCTCCCGGGGGTTGGTTTTGGGCTAGTTGTCAATTCATTCGTTTTGAAGAGCTGAACGATCAAAGTTAACGTACTCATCCCTAAGGATGTATCAGGCAGCGAGCCTACGGAGCAGGTGATCATAGATTCGAATCCTGTATCGGGTATGTATTTACTCTTGTTGGCAGCAACTGATGGGAAGGGAACCATTCACCGTTGCGGGACCCGCTCGATGGAGTGCCAGATGACCCGTATAGATGATTTCAACTACCTCCATGCAGGCTTGTCTTAACATTAACCTACACCTAATAACTGTAACAACAATCAGCGGAAGTTACCCATCTCCTCCATCAATGATGAGCCACCGCTGGAGTGGCGCCATGCTGCAAAAACCGCACCACAGAATCAAAGCGTTGTAGTTCCTATGCAGCGCCGTCGTTCTCAGCCCACTAGCGCCAAAGATCCTCATGCAATGCATGATATGCATTCCTTCCTCCTTGCTATCAACACTCCACCGTTGCAACACTATATGACAACACAACATCGAGCACATTATGAATGAATGAAGCGATAGACCCTCATAGGGCAGAACGACTGTCATGATGACAGTCTCATGGATTAGTGTGTTCAAGTGGTCGTAGAAAACCAGCGGCTTCCTCAGGACTTAGCTCGAGTATCGTCAAAGACTCTCGTATAGCCTGCGAAACCAACACCGATGCCGTGTTCTAAGAAACCCGTGCGGGGCCGGCACTGCGGATTCTTCTCACTTTTGCGAGAAGATCTTCACCCCGAACTGAGTTGCTATCAGTCTGCCCGAGTGATGCGAGGGTTATCCTGAGGAGGATAACAAGCAGCGCATTCTGTGGAGAAGGCTGAATCCATTCCCGACTTACATATGCAAGTCGGAGTCATTTTCAGCTGATCCTGATCTTATATCTCTACTAGTCATTTCCAACACGCTGGAGAGGTCTGAGTTCTCTGCTCCATGCAAGTGACCTGCTTCGCACGACTTATTTCCCACCGTGTCTGAAGCACAGACAGCCTCAGCCGAAGAAAAATTTCTCAGAGCGGTCATCCCTATCGAACTAGGCTCCCTAGTGTATTTACCACCACTACGACGGACGTTGACAGTATGTCCTTGACAGATCGACTACTGCAATGTTAAAGAATTCACGAGCCTGATTACTGTACGCTCACCGCACGAGAATACGACGTCAATGGCATCGAGTTGGTAGTAGCATTTCGATGAGCCCTCCGTACGCAAAGCTCTATGTCTCTCTTTCCAATGATTATCCATGCTGTGACGAGAATTCCGTCGGCCGGACAATAGTCGAGGGCTCCGTTTGCGAGCTTGTCGATCGGTGCGAATCTGCGAATAATAATCCACCTGGAGAATCGCCACGAACAAAGACTTACTGCATCTTCAGCCCGTCTCGCTTCTTGCTCTCTCATCATCTCGACTTGTGAGCTCACCTGGGCATACTGATCATAGCCATCGCAGCAACTATCCCCCACTCGAGTCAGATGCACTACACAGGTTGGTAGAAATCACTGCTGCCGATGAGTTCAAAGCTGATACTATCGACTACTTCCCAGAATAATTATATAAATAAACATGTGTTAATAGTCTATATATTATAAACATATAATGATGTTATAGTAGTACATATAGGTGATATATGATGTAATGATATGAATGTATGGTATAATGATAATCGATACATAAATATATTATTATATAAACATAAAAATATAATGGAGTTTCACAACCCGTTTTACGTGAAGTGGCGTAAAACTCGGTGAAAAACGCGATATTCGCGGCCTGTAGTAGTCGTAAAATATGTTTTTCACTGATGTTTTCTCATATCACTAGGGTGAAACTCCAATAATATATAGTTGATAACTTTATGTAAACTATGAATTCAGTACTCTATAAGCTAAAGGGAACACCGAGTTCTCCCCAGTTCACATGAACGCTAGCCAGAGAAGACCTCGGCAGAGACTACTGACATGAACGTCACAAGAAGATCCACCTTCACGGTATAAGGGGGAGACTATCTCCACTTACCTTCTCGAGCTTCCGCGTCGTTACTTCTAATTGTCGCTTCAAGCGCTCGGTCTCACTTCGTAACCTGTTCTCCTTATCCTTGGCATCCTCTCCAGCCCGATTAGCTATTGCCAACGCCTACAGTCAGTGTTGGAATATGTGTTTAGTTTTCCCAGCATAGTTCACGAGCTTCTCCGTCACATTATGAGAAATCACACGCGACTGCGGGTAGAAATGTACAAAAACCGACAATAGTTTCGCCCAGAATTCTCATATTATCACCAACACACGAAGTTGACCATGTGCATATTTCACCACACCGTCCACAGCGAACATGTCTACGGTTCATGAACAAATTCATTACGAGCACCGACTATACTCTACCTCTCGTGCTTCCATGGCTTTGCTTTTCATCTGCTCAGCCGTCCTCCCCTGACGCTGGGCCTCCATCTTGACGGTCTTCAGTCTCGCCTCAAGGTCACTTATCCTTGATTCTGCTTCCACCATTTCACATTTCTTCGCGGAGATATCTCGTCGCAATTCATTTATAATTCCCTGGACATACAACTCAGCTCGCGAGCTGCAATCGTTCTATCCGGCAATGCACCCACTTCACGTGATCTTAGGTCCTTCCGACACGACTTTAGTTTGCTCAACAGCTCGCCATCGACCTCATCCCTCTTACTGTCCACCGCGTTCTACACATAACTCCTCTAAGAAGAAACATCTATCGTAGCCTACCTCAGCATCCGATAAGGCTCGTTCTTTCTCCTTCAGAGATTCTCGGACAACTTTGAGCTCTTCTCGCAATGCGAGTATCTTCACTTCCTGTTGGCTGAAATCAGGGCCAGCTCAATGATTCCAGTCGAGGGATCTCGGAAAAAAGTCCACAAGTATGCGCGTACCGGAATCACTCGAGCGCTGCCGACAACCCTACTTAGCCTTCTGCTTCGATCGTCGCAATTCCTCCACCATATCAGCCACCTCACTTGCTAACTTCACTTTAGCGTTGCGTTCACAGTCTACCACCTGAGTTCATCACTCGACACATGGCGAGGTAATGCTCCTAAATAGCATGTGAGTATTCCAAAAACCTCTCACGCGCCGATTCCTATATCATCCTTCTTGCCTTGCTCAATCGGCCGATCTCCTCATTAGCAGAGGCAAGCCTGCGACTCGTATCAATTCGAGCGAGTCGTTTGTCCTCCCGACTCTGTGCCAGCTCCCTTTTCAATACCTCCGCTCCGCTACGCAGATTACCGATTTCCTACACAACGACGAACCCAGGCAATCCCTAAGCCGACTCGAATACCTCTCTAAGGGCCCTGACAGTCTCAACATGCTTCGGATTGCCCAACGACGGCTTCATGGCAAGCCTCGGGGCTTGAACCTCAACATTCCCTCTCACTAGACGGCTACGAGGAGGTGACGATGATTGCGATCGGATCAGATTAGCCGTCATCCTCTGACACACGAGGACCGACTCAAATAGAAGTCGACCAACAGGGACGTATCGAATTATCATAGGCTGTGATTCGGCTCAGTCGACCAAGAGTACGAGTGAAGTAGCATCGCTTTGATACCCATGTTCCATACACAGAGTCTCATATATGAGTACTCATGCCTTGGTCGGGAAAGACTATTCTGAACGTGCAGAAACCGTCTGTCAAATCTTGGTCCGAGCCGAATCGACGCCCCAGTTCACCACGACTTCACATAATTCATGCATTCCCATTGAGGCGACTATCAAGGCGAGCAGCTCATTCAGTTGCTCGCTATTCGTAGCTTCATCCTATAGTATTGTGAGCATACCGTTTGCTATAGTCTGCTTGAGCCTATTTGTATTGGACTCTAAACCATGAACAGCAACAGCAACTTGGCGCCCTCCTCTCACCTCTGCCTTGCCAAGTACAGCCGCCAGCCTGTCTGCCATCCCTCGTTCCTCGATACTCATACTGCTGGGTCCCACTGGGCGTCGTACAGTCTGCACTCCTTTACTACGAGACTTTAACTGACCTTCTGCCACTGACAAGCTCGACTGTAGCTCCTGATCAGCACCAACATCCAGCATCACCAAACTTAACACTTCACGTTAGTGTGGTGATACATATGTTTGCTTTCCTCAACTGATGTAATACACAAATCCGAGTAAAAAGTGGAAAAGTAGTTTAGTATTTCCCGGAATTTCCTCAAAATTTTCATTTTTGGCACCAACATGTGTCACACATGATGTGTGATTGACAATGTGTATATTTTATCGCACCGCTCACCGTTACCTCAACCCTCTTGTGGAGGCTCTGAATGACTCGTTGATGCTGACAACAGCTACGCTCGCTTGTGGCCAGAGCTTGGTGACTATCACCTGTTGAGATTGCCTCTATATCACAAACTCCCGTCTCCGATCTAAAGTGTCATGATTTTTAGAGTAACGCTAGGACACATAACATAATTAATTTTCACATAATGAAGACCTCATGTAAATGTGTCACACATTTACATGAGGTCTCCATCAAACAAGTTGTAAACAACTCGATTTGCTCGCTAGTGCGGCAGGACTGAGTGCTCCAGCAATCATATTATTTAGATAGAATTACTCTAGCGATGCAGTTGCGCCTCTCAGCGGCTGTCGCTGGATTCGATTGAGTCTGATAAACCGACACAGTGTGTGTTGTTAGGCGGTGATCGATAAAGAGGCCTCCAAAAAAGTTATACATAAATCCAAGGACTTCTCTTCACGACAGGCATTCTTAGGTTCGGATCAATTCACTACAATCTAAGGCCATGTAGTAAGCTCGCTGCCAGACCACCCACCGAGTGCTCCTCGCAACCTCATATTCTCCTCTTCCAAAGGCGGACATAACAAGCAGGGAGGAGGTGCACCTCGAAAGGCCAATAACGGGTGTTCCCCGCTCTCATGAGTACCTCTATCCGAGGCCCATCTCCCTACTCCTCTAGACACCCCCAAGCTTCGCGGCTCCATCCTATACGACATTGATTATGGCGGACAAGGCCCAAGACCTCACTGAGTTCCGTCTGATATCATCTCTGCCACTGCCTGGCAGCTACTCGTACACAACAACACCGCCGTCCGCTCAGTCTGAGCACTCCCATCGTTGGTCGACAACTCAACCGTTTGCGATGGTACGTCTTGGAGCTCTAAAGGTAGCATGTATCACCACTTGCCATACCACTCGGTCACTACTTCCACATCTCTCAATCGGCCTAGCAGTCAGCTGTGAGTTAGCCTCGGCCAGTCGAGCCGCAACCTCTACATATCTACGGTAGAGCACTCGCTGCGGCATGCAACTCAAGTGTTGGAGTAGGAATATATGTACGCTTTCCTCAGCTCAGCTCAGGAGTTTACTCAGTATTCATAAAAAGTTACATACGAATTCAGATGGAAGTGTACAGAAACCAATACGAATTTTCATATTCTCATCAACACACGTAGTTGACCATGTGCATATACAGTCAGCCTGGATGAGTATGAGCTCATTATCACAAATAATCACAACCGCTGAGCACGATGCGGTACACTTCACTACGCTAGTGAGTCACAAGAGCATTCAAACTGTACCCCAGCCCTTGATGAACCCACTTGCGATGCATATTCCTCTGCTGCTCAGCCATGACTTCGATCCTCTTGAGCACAGCATCATATCGACGTGTATGCTCCTGTCCTTCTCCATCGACCTCTTCAGCGACTATACACTCACCTCTACTCGTGCCTCTACTAGACGCTC